AATGTTTTCCTTTCTGGGCTTCAGAAGGCCTGTTCACTCTTTTTTAAAATACAAATTGTTTGGCCCCGGCTGATGTGGCTCAGTGGATTGAGCGCCAGCCTGAGAACTAAAATCTCCCACATCAATGTTTCTCTCCTTCCCTGGCTCCCTCCCGTCCTGTCTCTCCAAAAACACATTTTAAAAAATCCTTTAAAAATAGATAAAATACAAATTGTTTGGATTTCCTCATGTAACTAGTTTAACGCAAAATTCTTCTCATACTAGAATACAATTTCATTAACTAATCCATCTGGTTAAGTGTCTTGAATGGTAATAATTTTTTTTTATAAACAAATGACTACTTCTTCAATTTATCCAAGTGTCCATCCACCCATGGTTACAAAATTTCAGAATACCAGAGATAAAAAAAAAAAAGTTCCTAAAAGCATCTAGAGAAAACACAGGTCACAGTCAAAGCGTTGGGATTCAATACCACCGGCCGTCTAGATCTGCATGAGAAGTGTATATTCTGTGTGTAAGATGTTGAACAGGAAATAAGTTGTGAATGCAGGGAGCAATTTGGGCTGGAGACATACATTTGGGAGTTGTTATTGTATTACAGAAGGTGGGCCATCTTCCAGATTGTCCGGAGTCTGCATGAGGGAGCTGAGGGGTGGAAGCAGGAGGGGGTCCAAGGGCTGAGCCCTGGAACTCTTCAACTCGCAGAGGCTGGAGAGAAGATGGCCCACGAGGGAGGCTGGGAGTTGGCAGCCAGCACAGCGGCAGGGATCTGGCGCGCAAGGATCCAAAAGGCCAAACGAAGACGCTGTTTGAGGAACGAAGCCAGAACTTCGTCAAATGCCTTATGTAAGTAGGGTGAGGACTAGGAATGACCATTGGATTTAGCGATGAGGTCATTGATAACCCTGATTAGAGTGGTGTGGTGAGGTGTGGGGGTGGGGGGTAAAAGTGTGACTTGAGAAAGAGCTCAACCATCTGCCAGCGGAAGCGTGGATAAACAGATTGCAGTGTGTCCGTACAATGAAATGTTATTCAGCCATAAGAAGGAATGAGGTTTTTTAAAACATGCTACAACATGAATGAACCATGAAAACCTTATGCTAATGACAGAAGCCAGACGCAAATGGCTACATGTTATATGATTCCATTTAAATGAAATGTCCAGAATAAGCGATCGAGACAGAAAGTCGATTGGCGGTTGCCCAGGACTGGGGGAGGGGGAATTAGGGACTGACTGCTGATAGGAACAAAGTTTCTTTTGCGGGTATATAGAAACGTTCTGGACTTCGTGCTAACGGTTGTCACACAACTCTGTGAAAATACTTCTATAGTTCAGTGTAAACCACTGAATTGTAACTTTTAAATGGTGAATTTTGTTATATAAACTAACTCAATACAATTAAAAAAATGAAGAGATAAAGAGAAGATACGAACAACTCTTCAAAGGAGCTTTGCTGGAAGGAGGGTACAGAGATGCCAGTATCTGGAAGGGGATGTGGTTAAAGATTGTTTTTAGAGCTGGAAGGTGTGTGAGAATGTTTCATTAGATGGCCTTGGATAGCAGACTGCACTGACAGTTTGTCCAGAGGAGGAGGAGGAAAAGTAGATCACACTATATGAGGGGGAGAGAGGCCCCAAACTCAGCATTTATTTATAAAAAATGTGTATTTATTCTTACATGTTGAAACTTCAGTCACCTTCAAAGTACTCTCCATTTGATGCAATACATCTATCAAAATGTTTTTTCCCCACTGCTCAAAACCATTTTTGAACGTGTTGATTTTGATGCCTTTTTACTGCTTCTGTCATTTTTTGTTTCACTTATTCACATCGGCAAAATGTTTCCCTTTGAGGACTTTTTTTCATCCAGGGAACACAAAAAGACACTGGAAGATCAGAAGAATAGGGAGGGTGGGGCACAGGAGTCACACCTTTTTGGGGCAAAAACTGCTGAACGCTCAGCGTGGTGTGGGCAGGCTCACTCGTAAATCACCCATCATGAAATGGGCAAACACACTGAAAGAGCCTTCAAGAAAAAATTCACTGAAGCTGAGTGCAGCCTCTCACAACAACGCCAGCGGGTGCAGATACAGATGGGTTCCTAGAACACTCCCCTAGTGGGGGAAGTGTGTACTACAAGAGGCTCCCCTCCAGAAGATAATTCCGTTTTTTTGGCAACCCACCTCATAGATGGATATGTATGATATATGGATAGGTAGTTTTGAGGGGTTTGGAGTTCATAGGTTTTCTTCTGGCTGGTTCTAATTTCTCAATGAAGTAGGAGGCAAGAAGTCAAGTCATCAGTTGAGAGTGAAGATGGGCAAGCTGTTAGGAGATTCGAGGAGAGAGGAGAAAGTTTGAAGGGCTTGTCTATTAAATGTGAGATGCTGAATAAACAGGCAGTATACATCAGAGTCCTGTCTCTTTACATCCTAACCCACAGTTGGCTAGCAAATTTTGAATTGACTCATGTTATGAATTCAAATGAGCTTATATATATATACAGCAAGAATTTCTAGCACCACTTGGCACAGAGCAGCTGCTCAATCATTCTATTTCATGAGAAACATTGTATTGGGTTGGCCAGAAGTTTGTTTGTCCCCCACCCGTAAGATGGCTCTGGTAGTGCTTAGTTGTCTTGAACTTCATTTGAAACAATTTTGTTAGATTGAATTGTGACAGCTGTTATATCAGCATGCATTTAAAAAAACTGATCAAAATTGGTGAATTTTTGTGTAGCCATTTTAATATTGAAGATGGAAGAAAATATGCAACATATTCAGCATATTATGCTTTATTATTTCAAGAAAGGTAAAAACACAACTGAAAAACACACTCACAAAATATTTGTGCATTGTGTACGGAGAAGGTGCTGTGACTGACTGATATGTCAAAAGTTGTTTGTGAAGTTTCATGCTGGAAATTTCTCACTGGACAATGCTCCATGGTCAGGTAGACCAGTTGAAGTTGATAGTGATCAAAATCGAGGCATTGAGAACTATGAACATACCACGTGGGAGAGAGCTAACACTCTCAAAATATCCAAATCAATAAAGTTATTGGTGAAAATGAAGTATGTGTCTTTTATTTCACAGAAAAAACTAAACAAACTTTTTGGCCAACCCAGTGTCTTACTATAAGAAACATTGTGTCTCATTATAGTTTTAATTTGGGTATTATCAGAAATTACGCCAAACATCTTTTTACATACTTCATTTTCTGGGTAAACTGATCACATTCTTTGACTATTAAAATTGGGTTATTGGTCTTTTGTTAATATAAAAATCCTTTTGTATGTAAATTAGTTCTGTATGGGTTGTGACTTTTTCCAGGTTGCATTTAACTTATTTTATGCAGCTATGTAATTAAAATTTGCAATGTTCTATGATTTCTTAAAGACCTTTCACACTGAAATTATTAAAAATACTATATTTTTATATAGAATTAAAATTTTTAATTCTAAATTTTTATTCTATATTTTTATATAGAATTAAAATTTTTAAAAAACTAATACATGCACAATGTCATGTATTTAGCATGAACAGTACATTATATAGAATAGTTTCACTGCCCTAAAAATCCTGGGCTTCGCTTATTCATTATCCTCTGCCCATAACCCTTAGAAACAACTGATTTTAAAAATTGTATCTATAGTTTGGTCTTTTCCAGAATGCCATATAGTTGGAATCAATATCCTTTTCAAACTTTGCTTTTTGTCTTGTTTCAGTCAGCAATATACATTAAAGGTTTCTCCATGTCTTTATTGTGACTTGATAGCTGATTTCTCTTTTGCTGAGTAACAATTCACTGTATGGATATACTATGTACTTTAAAGGACATCTTGGCTGCTCCCAGCTTTTGAGTTGTGAATAAAGCTGCTATAAACATTTATATGCAGGTTTTTGTGTGGACATGTTTTCAGTTCATTTGGGTAAACAACTACAGTTGTTTGATACAGTAAGACTGTATTTACCTTTACAAGGAACTACCAAACTATCCTCCAAAGCAGCTGTACAAGGATTTGCTTTCCAGCCAAAATGAGAGTTCCTACTGACCAACATCATGGCCAGCATTTGGAAATTGTCAGGGTTTTGAATTTTAGTCATCCCAAAGGAAAAAGGGGTATCTTGTTATTTTAATTTGCAATTCTCTGATACATTTTGAGAATCTTTTCATATGCATTTTTTTGTCATATCTGTATTTTCTTTGGTGAGGTTTGTGTTCAGATCTTTTGCCCACTTTTTAATTGAGTTGTTTTCTTACTGTTGAGTTTTAAAATTTTGTTGTGTATTTTGAATACAAGTCCTTTATCAGGTATGTGTCTTGAAGATACTTTTGTTTTAATGATTTTTTATGTTTAATGTTCATCCCAACTGGAGTTTATTTTGGTAAAGCGGATTTCTAGATGGCTACCAGTTGCTTCAAAACTAAATTAAATCCATTTTTGTTCTCACCAATTGAATGTTATCTTTTCCATGCACAAAATTTGTACTTAGGTCTACTTTTGAATTTCTAGTCTTTCCAATGTTTTGTCCATTTATATGACAGTACCACAATTTTAAAGTTGTGCCTTTTCAAAATATTCAAGTACATGAAGCTAGTACATCAACATCACTCTTCTTTTTCAGGACTTTTCCTCAAGACACTGTGGCTACCTGAGCCTTTATTTCCATTTGTCAAATTCATATTCCAAGACCCACCTGTAGGAAGCTCCACCCTCTTGTTGCCTTTGTATGTCTCCTGTCATTCCACTTTTCACTCTGTATTGGGACTTATTTTCCTGTGCCTAGCATAATAGCAGATACTAAGTTCTCAAGAAATGTTTACTCAACAAATGGAGTAATAAATCGCAAGGGTTATGCTGATTTCCTGCTTTAATAAGTTCTAGTTTCCATTTTATAGGCTGGATAGTTTTGTCCCAATATCTATACACTTGTGTAGACTGATGGACAAAACTAGTTGCAGAATTGTTCTTAAAAATAAATCCTATGGAAAGCAAATTCAGTTCAATAAGCATTTATTGAATACCTGCTAGAAGATATGATTGAAGGAGATGCAAAATTATTTTTAAAAAGTCACATTGGTCTTTAGAAAGGAGAAATTATTGTCATACACAGTTCCACTGTTATCATCTTAAAAAAATAAAAATTCCTATTTGATTTTCAGTTCTGCCCTCAGTGGGAAAATTTTAGTTTTTAATTACTTTAAAAATAATGTATCTACATAGTTAAAGAAAAAAGTATAAAAGGCAACAGTCAAGAGTCTCCCCACACCCAACCTCCATCCTCCCAGTTCCCAAACCTCCTATAGGTAACTACAGTTTTCTTATGTATCTTTCCAGAGATTTTTAAAAGGCATAAACAAATAGATAACTCCCCAACCCCCATTTTCCATTCGTGATACACAGACTACATCTTTATTTCTTCCTTTTAACAATATACATGAAAAATGTTTATATCAGTATGTAAACAGCTTTCATTGTTTATAGCTGAATATTATTCCATTATGAAGGTACCATATTTATTTAGCCAATTCCCTACTGACAGACATTTAGGTTGATTCCAATTTCTTTTTACATACACTGCTACAAGTAATTTTATAGACATGTTGCTGTACTCAAGAGCAAATATATAAGGTAAATTCCTGACATTAGAACTGCTGATGCAAAGGGTTCAGGCACTAATAGTTTTAACAGATATTATCTAATTGCCCTCCATATAAATTTACAGCCCAATCAGAATATATGAAAATGACCCATTTATCATCCTGTATGCATTGCATTAAATCATTATGGCCCTTTCTGTGAATCAAAAATATCAGGGTTAAATGACTGTCAAATACTTTCCAAGTTATTAACTGAAAAGAGGCTAAGATTGTTTCCTTTTGCTGGAGGTGGAGTAGGGGTGTCAGACTGACTAGGATGGGTCACAGAGAAGGGCGCTGGTTACATGTGACAACTGTCAGCTCCAAACCCACCCTTCTCTGCCCAGCTTTGTGACACTGAACTGGACCCTGTGGACCTTTTTCCTTTGGAGCACAGGCTTTTTCAACAGAGGGCACGGCAGTGACACTGCAAGGCTATTGTGTCAGGAAGGCACCTTCCTCCCTTCCAGGTTCCAGCCTCTGCTGTGACCATTTCACACAGAGACCCCGAAGCCTGTGTGACATCTAATTGTACCCTCAGGCTCCCGACCAGATTGGCTTCTGCAGACCAGCTCCAGCCTGCCCTCAGTCAAGTTCCTCTGTCACTCCTCACAGTACCAGCGGAGGCCGCACCTTTTTAAAGGGATCTGAGTCTCAGCGCCAGAGAAAGATGTCTTCTTAGTCCTTTGTTGCTGTATTGTCTTACTCTCCCTCAGCCCTTTGGTGACAGCTGCTTTCATTGCCTCAACTTTTCTTTAAAAATCTCTTTTGCTCCTTTTAGTATTTAGTTCCTACCAGTCAACTATTTCTTACATGACTTTTCCCTGTTCACATAACTCATGTGATTTCTTTCTCCTGACTGATGTGATCTGATCATTAAGCAAAAATCCATCAAGATTCATACTTAAAAACTGTGCACTTTTGCCTCTCATTTTTGGCGTACAATTATCTGAAGTGATACAGAAACATTTGGATACTGATAAATGTACTATTAAAAGATCGTAAAGATATATTACCTCTCAGTTCCCATAATAGTTCTCTGCTAATTTTAAACTAGAGACAGTCCCTATTTAAGCAGGGCACATCTTCTACAGGCTCAAAGTATTCTGAGATGGCTCATGAATTTGGTTAATTTGTGGAATACAGTAAAAAGAAAAAAAAATTCCTACCCTTATGGATCTCACATTCTTGTGGTGGTAATATCACTGTGAGACTAAGATCTGCTTATGTTAAGACTAAACCTTTCAAAGCAAGCTTATTTCCCCATTTTACCTCAAGTGCTCAAATCTGAACAGTAGTATATTGTTGGCAAATAGGAACCATGACAGGTGATTGCCAGTAAGATGCTGAGGTCCACACGGGGTGGACCAGAATGATAACCTAGCTGGCCTCTGTCCTTTGCCCTAGGCTCCTACAACCACTCAGCTGCAAACCCTCCCTCTCTTCCCTTGTTCAGGACACTTTTCCAGGAAGTTAACAAGACCATTCCTCACCCCACCATTTCCAGTGGTAGCAGGTAGCAAAGAACATGTAATCTCAAGACCCCAGGGGACCAAAAAAAGATTATAGGCAAACAAACCTCTGCTTAAACTAGCACAGATTTACTTAGTTTTTGCTACCACACAGTAATCCAGGAGGTAGGTTTTATAATCTTCATTTTGATGAGGAAACTGAGGATTTGTCTACAACTAATTTAAAGTATTAGCTAGAACATGCACACAGGACCGTCCAACTATGCTGTTTTTCCTCTGCTCGTAGTCCATCTTTCAGATCAGGGTAATGAAATAATCTGGACACAATCCCCATGGATGGAAGGGCCTTTATTTGATGTCCTCATTCTAGAAGATTCTTACTTTCTAGAATGAAACTTTAGTTCTTAGTATCTCAAGAGGAAACAAGCTTTTTGTTTAAGAAATGTGTTTCCAATTCACTTGAATATACTTTAAGATACTCCACAGCATGAGACCACTCAGATTTTGTCTAGTTGCTTGTCTAATTGTAGTCCAAGTGGCTCTGAGGGTAGGTGAAAGGGGATACGTTAAAAACAAAAAAACAAAACAAACAAACAAACCCCCCACACACACACTTAAAATTTAAGATAGCCTAATTAAAAAATTAAGAAAAATTTCCCTAGAATTTAAAAAAATTCATTATTTTTACTTAAAAAACCTACCTACTATCTACATAACTATGATTCAAAAAGGATTACGTAGGTATGGAATTAATAAATTATGTTTTGGCAGTTGTTCAACAAACAAAGTACACCTAGAGAACATAAAAATTCTTTATTTAACCTAATCCATCCAATATTGAGATAATCTGCTATATTAAAAACAAGACGTTTTAAAAAATTACAGCATGGTTAGCAAGGTAGTGACTAAATAAGTCACTAAGCTTAACTTTATATTCATATTAATTTGATATTTATGTAATGATGAACAATATTTTCAGCCACTTGGGAGATAAGTTAACTTCTGCAAAGGGAATTCGACCAGTTGTCACTGAATTTCATAAAGAGGTTTAAAACATTAGTTTATAGAAATAACACAATGTGAAAATAAACTGAAAAACATGAAATATACCCACCCACCCCCAAAGTCTCCAGCAACCCTTTAATCTATACCCTAGTGTCTTTATTTTCTTCATTCCCCATTCCTAGAGTTGTGAGCAGACTATTTAGCAATTAAGAAACAACTACTGCTCTGTAGGGGCTATTTCGAGCCCAAAGTGCCTCTGTTCCTTTCTCAGTTAATCCTAGAAATATCTTGAGATTAAGTATTACTTGCATTTCAGAGATGAAGAAAACTGTAGCAGAGAGGAAGTTAGTCACTTGGTCAAGGTCAAGTTATTAAAAGCAGAATTGCATCCGAAGCCAGGTCCACCCAGCTCATGCCCTTTTGTTGCTTCATGGCGGTGCAGGCCAACTCTCTAAAGAGACTGGGACATGGTACTTCTGGAGCTAACAAGGCTCTTTAGATTTAAGTGTTCAATTCCAAGGCTGGAGGTCACTCTTGGTCCCGAGGCACTTGCAATCCACTCCCTACAGCCCTAGAAACCCTGCTCCCCTGACCCCAAAGGCTTAGAGTTGTTTCTGGGGCCCTCATAAGCCCTGATGCTAATAAATCCAAGCAGCTACTCCCCCATCTTGGGCATTAACGTAGTAAATGGGGAACTGTGTGCTTACATACCCTTAGTAAAAGCTGCCTAAAAGCTGTTCTATATAACAAAATTATGCAGGAAATGTCTAGTGTCTTTTCATCTTAAAAATGAAAGCCAATATATTTTATAATTACAGCTATATAATCTAAGTTATTTTTAAATATAATCATAGATTTTTATTTCCCCTTCAGCACTGCAGCAATGTTCTTAATAAGGCCCACTGTCAGTCAAATATTCCCTTCCTCCCCAAATAATTACAACTTTGAATGTTCAACAGCCATTCACATCATGTTATAACTCAAAATTAACACATTCATGCTATAAAGAAATACCAGTCTTAAATTACTAAAGCTAACATACACTGTTACAATCTAACATAGCTCAATCTAGCTCAATCTATGTTTGCTACACTCCTAAAGAGAAGTGGCCACTTATCAGTAAGGGAAAATGTTTATTACTGTCATGCATTAAGATACTGTAAACAAGAAAATAAAATTTTTGGAAGTAACTTTTTAAAATTTTATTTTAATTAATGAAAATAACTGCAAGACCACTCAGATTGCTGAGCAACATTAAAAGGCTTACTATTGAAAATGGCTTGGAATACATTAATTGCTTTTGAAAAATGAATATAAAACTAGTTAAACAGTGACTAAGATACTACCCTCATCAATATGACAAGCAATTAAAATCTAAAAATATTAGTATTGGGGTTTTTAATAATAAATTTACTTAAGCCAAAAACAATGACCTCAATATTTACTCAAGACTTATTTTCATAATTATCTCCTCACCGATTGGTATGAAAACAAAGAGCTCAAGGCCTCACCTTGGTTCACCACTGTTGGTTTTCTCTCTGTTGAAACTAGACTGTAAGCTATATGAAAACCCAGCAACCAAGTCTGTCTTGCTCGCCACTACACCACCTGCTGGCACAGTGCCTGGGCCAACAAGTGATCGGCATATACCTGAATAACTGAATCGATGAAAAAGAAGAGTAAAATAACTTTATTTTTTCACAAACCATTCTCTGTGCTCAAGCTACTATAATCTGGCAGCTCTAATTTCTAGAAATATGGATTTAAAATTTTACTCCAGTGATGGAAGGACCTGATGTCTCCGCGTCTCTCTCTCTCTCTCTCTCTTTCACACACACACACACACACACAGTAATTAAGACTGCACGAGTCAAAATTACATTATGAACTATGAGATGTCAACATTATATAAATAAATTTTAATAGTGAAAAAGTGATCTGGAAGCCCTGTGAATTCTTACCCTACACATTTTGGAGGATATCACATGGGTTAAGAAAAACAACAGAATTGCATTTGTTCAGATTATCATTTGAATGTTTACATACATTTTTGGTTTGCTATTTATAACTAATTTAATTTACATTTCATGTTACATGTACTCTTGTATAACATGTAATCAAATTATGCCAGTGAGAAAAATCCTCATAGTACCTTCATTGAATTGCTGATTCTAAGGAAACACTCAACATGAACATGTACAAAAAAGGCATGTGCATTTTTCAATATTTGCACAGGTTGATTTTTATATTTCTGTCTGAAGAAAATATGAACAAAGCCCAGATTTACCATGCTAAGATAATGGTTCAGATGACTGCCATAAAAGTAGTACATACAGAGTAATGAGATCGAATCACATCCTTAGGTTCCGTGATTACTGAGAGGACTTCCCCAGCCCTAAGTGCTTTCTTTATTATATTTCTTAAAAATACGAGAGCAGCAGCTTATCACAAGTCTTCACTACTGTGCATTAATGATGGAATCAAAACAACACAACAGACTCATAAGGATGAGAGGACTGTGGAACAACTACATGTCACAGTTTTATGCTTCTTCTTGTTCCGGATAATTTAGAATTTTGCGGTGTGCCTGACGTAAATATTGCTGCTGTTTGAAGTAAACTTTGAATGCTCCTTTTATGGCAACAAAAGCAATTCCACCCTAAAATAAAAAGGAAAGTTAGCTTTTTAAATGCATATTTAGAGAAACATAATAAAAATAAGTTTACAGAGGTAGCTACCATTACTATCTTCATTCTATGAGCATAGAGAAGAAATTTGATTTAAATTTCTCAGCACGGCAATGAACCAGGTAGTTGGACCCTAGAGCAGAAGTTCTTCACCATAATCTTTCTGGCAAAAGGGATGGATGTAGCTGGTGCAGCTCAGTGGATTGAGCACTGGCCTGCAAACCAAATGGTCACTGGTTCAATTCCCAGTCAGGTCCCAGTGGGAGACCTGTGGGAGGCAGCCACATATTAATGTTTCTCTTCCTCTCTTTCTCCCTCCCTTTCCCTCTGTCTAAAAATAAAATAAAATCTTTAAAGAAAAAAGGGATGGATGTGAGGATTCATGCATACTCCAGGAGAGAAATCGCCTACAGAATAGTTCTGGAAGGCAGAACTACTGCAGTGGATCCTTCCCTTTTTCCTGCTATTGGATGACAGTGCGGATAAAATATAGGCTTAAGACACAGAAGCCACAGAATAATGATATATTCCTTTGTTGTTGTTTTTTTATAAAGACATATATATTTCATTCTCTTTTGTATAGTCACTTGAGAAAATAGTATTAAAGCCATCTTACCAAGATTGTCCTTTGTAAATTAGAGTTAACACTACTAAACATCAGTTTACCAACTATTGTCGCAATAGTAGGAAAGACAAGGGCTCCACACAAAATTCGGGTGGCAGACACGTGATCTGCTAAAGGATTGGCCTCAGCAGGAATTCGAGGAACAGGGCAACCAATCCCTAGAGAGAGAGAAAAAAAAACCCAGGGCATTAGTGCTAATAAATTAGCACAGGTAAAATATCTTTGCATGTAAGGATTCTTCTACAAGATTAATTTGGCATGCTTGTTACAACCCCAATTCAGGGCCTTACCTGGGAATATACTGTTCAAAATTTGTAGTTTATTTGAGTATTTGCGCCATAGTCTAAGCACGTAGTCCTCCCAGCGAATCATCTTGCCTAATATCAGCATGACAGGAATAGTAGGAAGTCCAATTAAAAGGAATAAAGGATCGGCTCTCTCCATAACATCCAAACCTTCTTTATGGCCTACAACCTGTGAAACAGATACCATTTGCTAGAATTATTTCCTTATCTAATAAAGGGATGTTGCATGCTTGAGCTCTATTCATTTTAGAGGAAATGCTAAATGTCAAAAGAATACAGAAATAAAAAGTTAAAAAATATAAGCTGAAAGCTATCAGTTCTCATTTATTTATAAGAAGTGTCTCTAAGTGAAGGCCGAAAATACCAATTTCATATTACATTGGAAAAAAAGCTTTAAAACTGGTTGACTCATACTGATCACCATATTTTTCAGACTACAAGATGCACCCCCTTCCAATTTGGGGAAAAAAAATGGTGCGTCTTATAGTCCAAATGTAGCTTTACATTTACATTAGTGAAATGTTATTTGTGGTATTAAATGTTTTACCATATTTTTTGCTTTAAAATTTTTCCCCCTCTAAAACCTAAGTGTGTCTTATGGTCCAAAAAATACAGTACATATATTCATTCGTTCATTCATTCATTCATTCCTTTATAGAGAGAAAGGAGAGAGAAAAGTGAGGGAGAGAAACATCAATTGGTTGCCTCTTGCAGGCACCCCAACCAGGAATCAGGCCTGCAACCCAGTCATATATCCTAACTGAGAATTGAACTGGAGACTTTTTGCTTTTCAGGATGATGCTCAACCAACAGAGCCATGCCTGTCTGGGTGATTACATTTGGATAGAAGGGAGGGGACTTCTGGTTCTTGCTTCCATTCCTCTAAATTGATTTGGTTTCCCTGGGCTACTAGGTCCTATTTGTCTTCTAGCAGAGCAGCTGTTTTCTAGTTCTTCCTACTAGGAGGTAAGCATGGTCAACTAAGGGGCAGGACCTGCCTTCAGGAGATGGTCTGAAAACTCACTTCTCTTTGGCTCTTTCTCCTCACTCAGTGGTGTCTGGGATAAAGTAAGATCTCTCTGGTTGGCCAAATGCCTGCTCTACACACCTAACTCTCCCAAAATGCAATTCTAAGGCCTAGACTGGGAGATTGCTGTATGGAGTTCTGGCTACAGGTTCTAGTCATTTTTTCTAGTCCAGGAACCCCCCAGTGCCCTTGTTTATGGGGTAGTGAAGCTAAAACAATCCTTCCCCTCTCATCTGGGTCTTCAGGCTATTTCTCAATTGATTTAGATCCCAGATGGCAAGAAGTACATGATTAATTTCTATCTGTGCATTCCATATTTTTCACTTGCTGATCAATCTCACTTAGCCTTATACTTCTCTCAACAGCATTATTTTGTTGGTGAGCCTCTAATTTTTAACTAGAAAATTTCCAAGAAAATTCTTTCATAGGTCTCAAATGATCTCTCTTTAGCCAAAGTTTCAATTACTCACAAATTAAACATACTTCTCTGAGGGATTATTCTTGGCAGTTAAGATAGGGGAAGGAAACTACTTCAGAGTCTTGAGCTTTTAGCCCACTCAGGCATCATCACACAGTGAGGCAATAGCTTGAGAGAAGGACTCTACTGCAAAGGGCTTTATTGATCACAGTTGAAGACTAAACCAGAAAAAAAGGATTAGAAAGGACCTGTCTATATTTTTGATTGGAGGGAGGGCAAAAGAAGGAAGGGCAGGCAAGGAGAGCAAAGAAAGAAGGTAGGGAAGTCTATAGGCTGTGAGGGATAATGTACATTCAGAAAACAAGCTTATGAGATATTTTTTCAAAACCAAGATGCCCTTTATGTCAGCTATTGCAGCATAATTTTTTGGGTGGATGGATTACAAGGAGGTATGAAATAAGGTCAAGCTGAGAATGATCAGGGCAAATTGAAATTCTGGAAAACGGACTTAATCCAGGTAGAAATGTCTTATAAAATATGTGGAGAGGACCAAAATGGATGCTTTAAAAATTTCAGTCAGGCATATAGCCCAAACTTGCACTTGGCTATCTTATCTAACCAAGATGTAACATTAAAGGGCAGGAAGCCAGGCTCTTCCAAATGGCCATAAACCATGGCATCATTACATGATACTCTTCAGTATCTTCAGGTAGAAATTAATAACTTCACACATTGCCATGTGAAGGGTGATCATTTTGAGTTGTCCTTAAGTTAAATGGTCTGGCTCACAATATTTCAAACCCTAATCCCACACTGGTGGCAAAAGTAGACTGCCTTTATCTATAATGCTTTTCCAGGATATTAAATTTTTATATCATTTTATTAGCTCTCAAAATGTTAGCAAACAAATTTGAAAGTTCCCTTGCTGGGTTATTCTGTTTAGAATTTAGGGTTTAGAAATAGAAAACAGAGTGAATATTCAGGTATGGACTATATATAGTAAGGTGAAGTTTATTTCTCATGGATAGCAGTTAAAACCTCACAACCAGGTGTCTAAGGATGAGGAAACAAAAAAGAAAACAGGGCAAACAGTGAACGAAAGCCCATCATCCCATTTGTTACAGCCAAAGTGGAGAGAGAAGCTTTGTGCTCAGGCTGCCATGCATGCTCACTTGCATACATTCCTTCATTCAACTGAACTCTGATTATGTGCCAGACACAGGCTTAGTGCTGGGGATTAAACGGTGAGCTAACTAGATGTGCTCTGGAGGTGAGAGACAGTCAAATCAGACAAGTGGGCAAATATAAATGCTGCAAAGAAAACAGAATAGTATAACCTGTAGTATACTACCACTATGGTCAGAATCAAGGGCAATAAACGAAAGGTAAATTAAGCATTGAAGCTCATTTAATTTTGTTCAATACAAAAATAGCAAACTTTGTGCATGATCATATATATTCCGGTTTTGTGCTGCAAGATTTAAAAACAGATTATTTTTTTTGAAACAGATTCATAGATACAAAACAACTGATGATTGCCAGAGGGAAGGACTGAGTAAAAAAGGCGAAAGAATTAATAAGTACAAACTAGTAGTTACAGACCAGTTACAGGGATGTAAAGGACAACACAGGGAATATAGTCAATAATACTGTTATACATAGTAGGTATAGTGCCAGGTGGGTACTGGAAATATCAGGGGCAATGCTTTGTAAAGTATGATTGTGTAATCACTATGCAGTATACCTGAAACTAATAAAAAGAACACCAAGTGTAAACTGTTAATTGAAAAACAAACAAACAAACAAACAAACAAACAAAAAAACACATTATTTTTAAGACTTCAATTTTGGAGTGAGATTCAGGAACTAAGAAATTCCTCAGGAACTTTTCTTTTTTAAAGATTTTATTTATTTTTAGATAGAGGGGAAGGAAGGGAGAAAGGGAGGGAGAGAAACATCAATGTGTGGTTGCCTCTCGAGTGCCCCCTGCTGGGCCTGGCCCACAACCCGGGCATGTGCCCTGACTGGGAATTGAACTGATGACCCCTTGGTGTGCAAGCCAGCACTCAGTCCACTGAGCTACTTTTCTATGAGTTTATTATCCATGTAAAAAATAAAGGCCTATAGATTTATAGGTTTGGATAAGTTTATTTTTTTTTGCTTCAGAGCTAAAAGCTAGACCTTCATATCCAGCTAAGCCTACAATTCACCAATGCTGAAAGGCTACGAGTTTTAATTAAGGCCTGATCTTTTAAAGCACTGCCTGTTAGAACCCTACCTTTAAATGGGAGAATGGAATAGTGAGGAACTAATAGGTTTTCTTAGTTAGAATTTAGGATAATTAATTGTAGTGTAATTAAGAATGGACAGTGCTTAAGGGGGTAGTCTTTATACTAGATGCAAAAGTGGAACTAGGTTAGATATTAAGGTTCCATTGTTCCAGGATAAAATGTTCCAGCTGCCTCTGGGACTAGGTTTCACTTAAGGAGCCCAAGATTAGGGATAGGAGTCTTAATGCCTCTTCCTTGTTGTATGGTATTAGACATGTAAACTCTTTAAACCTGTAAACTAGGAATAATTGATAGTATCTAAACCACCAGATTGTTGCAAGGATTAAAGGCATCAGTGCTTGAAGGGTCTTCAGCCCAGTACTGTGGGGAAAAAGTGAACTATCATGTTGTCTGTTCAATAAAAATGTAACTGGAAGTTCCTATTTAAGTTCCTCACAATTAACAGAGATTGAACCTAAGACTGGTTCATAAAGAAAAAAAAAAGGAATACATGGGGAAAGAATAGTTGTCTGATTCCTTAATCTGATTTACTTTATAGCAGTTAGAGAATAAAAGAAAAAAAAACAGGAAAGTGTTAAAAAGAAAGTCCGAAACACTTCTGATTGTACAGTGGGGCGCATTCCCTGACAATATCTCAGGCAAGGAGAAATCTTCTTAATACTCTCAAACCACACACAGTACTACCCATTGTCCACAGCTGATCTCTCATTTCTGAGCTAAAAAATAAAAACTTTTTCCTGTGAGACAATACATGTAAAGGTTATTTCTAAATGGTAACACCTAATAAATATGTATTATCATAATTTGGGGTCTTTTTCTTTACTGTCACTGTTAACCATTATGTTAATTTTTGTCTCCTTGCTTGTATCATTTCTTCTCTCTACCAATCCAAATTATTTCCTTCAAGGGTCAGCATAAGACTTACCTTTTTCATAACTTCAAATGATTTTGCACTTTTACTGAATTAGAATACTGCTTATGGAGTCTACACTCTCTTCACATTTGCTTATATAACCTTATTAACCATTCTCCAGTTCATTTATATACACCTTGTCTTAGGCTACATTCCTTGAGGCTGGGAATGAGAGCTTTCAATTTGTTTTATATTTTATGCAGACCTCAGCTCAGTGTTAACTTTTTGGTTGAATCATACCAATATTGTTCAAAATGCCAGGATACAACTGGTAGCCATTTGTAGAGGATACAAACTATATTCCTAATTGGATCCTGTGTTGTTGAACTGTTCTATTAATTATAAAAAAAACCTTTTAAGATTGATTTAGTCTAAAGTCTTTTCAGGAAGAGCAATCCCATTTCCTATACTCAATTAGGTCTTAAATCAGTCTCAGAAGGCCTTAGTTTCCTCATCTGCAACAAATACATACCTGTATGTATTTGTATATTAAATAGTGTATAATGTGCTCCAAGTTTTCATGTCTTTGTCAATCCTAGTGAATCATCCGGAACTTCTTTGATCTAATGATGTACTGATACTTATTGCTGGAGTGAAATGAATTATTAGAGAGAATATAATCAACTGAACAAACCAGTTATACCTGATGGAACAGATCATATTAAAAAATCAATGTATTATGAAAGCCTGTTAAGTGTTAGTCTCTATGTATGTGCTATACAGGAATGTATAAGTATAAATAATATAGTTTCTACTCTCAAGCAAATTACTCTCTAATAGGAAAAGTATGATCTGAATACAGGAAAAGTTAAATAATTTAGGTAATCTATATAAGAAATATTACTTGGTTGGCACAAAAGTAGCTGCCATTTGAGGAATAAAAATATGTCACTAATGCAGAGGAAAAAGAAATCACAGTGGGCAGGAGTTGCCTGGTCAGTTTCAAGGAGGAAAAGTGGCTGAACTAAGCCTGAATGAAGGGTCTGGATTTGGATTAGTAGAGACGGAACTGCAAGCACAGTTATTAGGCAGGGAGGTGACATAACCCAAAGAACAGAGGTAAAGAACACTAAACAACATAAGGATGGGCTATAGGAGACAGCCCAATGGGCTATCAAAGCAGAATGAAGTAAGACTATGGAGGAGCCTGCACAATAAATCAGGTTAAGGAAATGAAATCTTTTTTCAAGCTAGTGGTTCTTAATCTTTATCCACTACACTCATGACAAATGATCATTTAATTTATTATTTGTGATTCATTCCAGTGATTATATCCAGATGGGGTGTCACCAACATTTTATGAAAAGCCTTGCAAAACTGTCTCACCATGACTATTAATGGAGCAACCAGAAGGACTGCTTACTATGGACCCTGGCATAGATAGGTTATGTGCAATTTTTGGAATATTACATATATAGTAAGTCCCCATTTTCATGGTATTGACAGGTTCTATTAGTGAAATGATAAAACTAATTTTACCATAAGCTAATTGATATAAACAAGAGTTAAGTTCCCACAGTATCTTATCAACATAAAATGATGCTGACAGACACATTGAGGACCTGCTTCAACTCACTTTTTCTTTCATACACTAATTTATATTAAAGAAAAGCAAGTTATATCATCTATAAACCTAAGTATATTTATTCAGTTACTTACGAAATGCTTAACCAATCTAGGCACTACTTTTGAGAAGCACTACTTAAGGCAGAGGAGATGGTTAAGCTTGAAATAAAATGTTGAAGCCCTGGCTGGTGTGGCTCAGTTGGTTGCAGTGTCATTATCCTGGAACTGAAAGGTCGTAGGTTTGATTTCTGGTCAGGGCACATACTCAGGTTGTGGGTTCAATCCTCGATTGGGGCAAATATGAAAAGGTAACCAACAGGTGTTTCTCTCACACTGATGTTTCTCTCTCCTTTCCTCTCTCTCTAAAGCAATGAGAAAATGTCCTGCAGTGAGGATTAAAAAAGACATCAAAGGTATTATTTTAGGAAGATTCATTTGAAAGGATAGATTGATAGAAGAGAACGAAGTCAGAAGAACCAATCAAGAGGCTCCTTTAGCCATTCAGGTTACAATGGGGGAGTGACAAGAAATCATGAGGTGAAGACTATGGAAAGGAAGCATAAATGTAAGACATATCAAAATGAAAACTGCTTGGCCTTGGTCAGTGGACTGCATATAGGCAGTAGAAAGTCAAAGGCAATTCTAAGAATGTAGACTATAAACTGAGTAGATGAAAAAAGAATAGGAATTAAAAGTACAGATAAATTATAATGGGGAATAAATTTAGGTTGCAAAATGAGAAAGACATGTTTGATTTCAATAATACTGAGTATGCAGTCACAAGAGGTCATTTAAGGACGGTCAAGCTGCTATTGTAAAACTGGATTTGAGGAAAGATTAGGTCAAAAGATATATTGGAACACAAAAAGCACAGCAAAGACAAAAATCTTTAAGGAAGAGGTATATAAAAAGAGTTGAGTTGAAGGCCTGGGACTAAATCTGAAAATTTAAGTCTAATTTTCATCAACAGTTACTGATTATAGCCTTATTCTGTAATAGCAAAATACTAGAAGCAACACATTTTCTAATCAGCAAGAGACTGGTTATAAATTGTAGTAATTCTGTATATAGAATACTATACAAATTTCTGCACACTTACATAAAAAGATCTCTAAAATTCACTGTGAAAAAAGAGGGATGAAACTCTAAAATACTTCTTTTGGGTTAAAAAAAAAATGTGTGTGTGTGTGTAAATACATTGAGTTGGCCAAAAAGTCCATTACATTTTTTCCGTAAAATAAAAAGACACATTTTTCATTTTTACCAATAACTTTCTTGGTTTGGAAATTTTGAGTATGTTGGCTACCTTCTACTATTGACTTCTAGTGGATAGAGGCCAGGGTACTACTAAACATCTTCTAACGCATAAGATAGCACCACAGCAAAGAATTATTTGACCAAAATGCCAATAGTACCAAGAAACTTCGCAAACCACTTTTGACACGACCATCAGTCAGAGCACCTTCTCCATACACTGCACGAATATTCTCTTGTATTTCAGATGCATTTTTACCTTCCTTGAGATAACAAAGCATAATATGCTGAAAATGTGTTATTTTCTTCCACCTTCAGTACAAAATGGCTGCACAAAAATTCACCAATCTTGGTAAGTTAAACACACACACACACACACACACACACACACGACAACTGTCACAATACAATCTACCAAAATTGTTGTGAGTGAAGTTAAAGACAACTAAGTGCTATTAGAGCCACTGTATGGAAAAAATGGACTTTTTGGGTGACCCAATATTTATTTTTTCTTGCATATGCACAAAGAAAGTTTGGAAGAATATATATGAAAGTAATAATAGTGGCTACCTGGGGAGGTAAGGAGAACTTGGGCAAATAAAGAACAGGAGTAAGAAGGCTTTTCACCAAGTAGCTTTTTACATATTATTTTTAGGTCATGAAAATGCTATTGTCCAAAATAAATTTTAAAACTCCTAACAGTCTATTTCACAGATCTTCACATCAAAAGTAATATAACTGAACAGAGTTAAATAGTGAACCTGCATCACTGTCACTGCTCCGTAAGTCACAGCTGTCCAATAGATAGAGCCAACCATTATTCCCGCTGCAGCAAATGGACAGGCTTTTGAGATCAGTCTATCTGCAAGATCCAAGACGTATACAACTGGACCTATGAGACAAAGAAAATAAAGTTTCAACACAAGACAGATTTTTAAAAATGCCTTATTCAGTATTTTCCGAAGATCTAAAATATTTTAATGAGGTTGTTCTGGTGTTTAGAAATACTGTTGTAAATGTGATGGAACCCTACATTTGAAGAGGTTTAGAATTTCTCAGGCATTTGCATGAATAGCTAAATTTCACTTCTGAAATTTAAAAAAAAAAAGCCTCTTTAAATATTTTTCTGTATCAGTAAACCTAAGATTAAAACCTCAAACACAGTTGCTTCTTATAAAAGAAATAGTTCTCTCACTTCTCTTAATCACAATGGCAACTACAGAATGAAGCGGCCTTTTCAGCCTGCCTTTCCTAAACAGTTCCTAGTCATAATTAAATTCTCTAGTACTTGGTAAGAATATCACTTCTTTGACTTCACTCATTACTTCCTTGGAACAGTGTGTGAAAGTAACCAAGCCTATTTTCTTATAGTTACACAAAGTCAATCTATCTTATTTTGATTTTCAATATGCCATAATTAGTTGAGTATTATTCTCCAACAAGCTTCTTTTAATTATCATAATACCAGTTTTTATGGCATTCCAACAGCTGTGTGTGCCAATTATGCTTCTATTATTATGTGCTTAACTGTGAAATTTCGCTATTACCTCCCTCTGGAATTTATTTGGAATAGCTACATTTGGAAGTATTCTAATTAACTGCCATTTAGTCCAATAATATAATTTAGCTACAGAATTTTCCAGAACAGTGGAAGGGCCTAAAGAACTGAATATCTAAGTTTAATCAAAAGATTATGAAACCTTGATTTAATAATAACAGTATTTGTTGAATACCGGCCACATGCATCCTATTATTTGAGACACTTTCTTAGAAATGTACAAGTGTTTTTACCTACCTTCTGAGGGCTTACAATCTACAGGAGGATGCCATACACAAAAACAATTTATTTTCATTGTATAAAGAAATTAACATAGCAATATGATGATAAAATAAACATATAAGAGCAAGCATTCATCTACAGAACTTCCGATCACTACTTCCCCCGATCATTGGAGCCAGTAATGTCACTAGTTTCTGTATAAAGAGAGACCACATTGTGAAGTAGAAAGAATATTTGGAGACATCAAACAACCTATGATTTAAATTTAGCATATTCACTTTGACAATATTTACTAGTGTCAAATTTCAGCTTACATAACATTTAAAACTATGACAATGCATCTTTTGAGACCAAATAGATAAAGTAAGCCTAGTTTAGGGTACACTGACTCTACATACTCTAACAACAGCACTTCTTAAATGTCTGTATGATACTAGGCGCTGTGCCACAGGCATTACACACATCATTATTTAACCTCATAAAGTAGGGTTTAATCCTCACAATACACACATTTGCTGGGTTAAGTTTGTAACTACCTCAGAAGGCACAATAAGTCATTACAGTGAATCACCAAAGATCCCTCAAATGTTGGTACTAACATTTAAAGACAACACTTCAACTTTCATATTCTCTACTGATAATTCTTTAATCAGAAACTGAAGCCACAGGAGAACCACCACAGACTCTATAGCACATGTACTCATCTACCAGATCTCATCTCCTCACCACTCAAACTCATGGCTCCAGCAATTCTCTGCTCCTCTTCAGATGATTTCCAAACAAACGTCATTATTTCTTCTATCTTAAAGAAATTCTTCACTTGATCCTTTTCCTCCAATCGTTCCATTTCTTTGCTCCTTTTCAAACAAAATTCCTCAAAAGACTTATCTGTTTTCACTTTTGCTCTCATTCAGTTCTCTCTTGAACCTGCTCCACAAAACTGCTCAATAAGGTCACTAACCATCTATGCATTGCTAAATCTAATCCCAGCTTTCCTCTCTTTTGGCCTATCAGCAACATATGACAAGGATTTCCCTTCTTCCTCCTGCATGGTTCTTCACTGCATGAGCACGATATCACCATCTCTTCATTTTCTTTCCACCTCACTAGCCACTAACTCTTCAGTCTCCTTTGCTGGTTCCTCTTCATGATCTCAGTGAGCCCACCCTATCAATACACCTCACTGTACTCCCTATTTGATTACTTGGCTCTAGTTTTCTTTTTTCCAAAGCACTTAGTAGCTAACAGACTCTAATTTACTTGTTAATTCTCTATCCACATACTAGAACAGGGAAACTACAGCCCACTGGCCCAATCCAGCCGGCTGCCTGGTTTTGTAAATAAAGTTTTATTGGAGCATGGCTACACACAAAGCCTAAAATACCTTTTTTTTTTTTAAACAGAAAAAAGTTTGCCAAGTTCTGAACTAGAACAAAAGCTCCAAAAAGGAAATCTTTAGGTGTTGCTTTTTCATTATTCTGTACTAAGCCCAAGTTACAAGACTATTTCCTACCCTGTCAGAATCAGAATTTACATGGAAAGAGGTATTCTACATGCTTCCAATGTACCTTCTTCCCCTCCTCTTTTCAACATGGTACTTAGAATGATCTACTGATGGAGTAAAGCAAGTTAATTCCTAAAAAATTAATAAAAATTAATTTGAACGAAAATATAATTCCTGAAAGTAATCTATCACTACCACTTTTCTCTATCATGAACATGGATAATCTAGAGATGTTTGAATTATCTTTCCTTTAAAGATCTCGGAAGGTTCTAACAAAATTAGCTCAATTTTCAGTTTTCTTCCTGAATCATTGGGTGTGAATTCCTTTTGCACAAACAAAAAACAAACAACCCTCACTTTTCATTTTGGAAATTTTCTGCTCACCCTTTGGGTCATATGGAAAAGATATGCTGGATTAAATCACAACACTGGCTGAATTGTGGTCCCTAATTCTAGTGTTTTTGACAAAATTCTGTCTAGGCTTTTACATTTATTTTGTCTAAACCTCTCAAGGCTCTTCCAGATAGACTAGTCCAAGATTAGTTGCATAATTAAAAGGTTAAATGTCTAGTGGTATTCTATACCATTAGAATAATAAAGTTGCCACCCAGAGGAGGTATTTCTGAGAACTAAAGATGATCTAGACCAGCTATTTGGTGAGTAAGAACAATCACTGACGTCCCCTGGATGACTCACTGAATCATACCCTGCTGTCAGGAAGCTTATTGTGTGCTCGTATCCCATGACTTGCATCACAAAAAGAAAATACTAATAGCGACTAGATTCTTCTTATTGTCAGATTATAGCACAAAGTATTATAGGAAGTGAGGCGAGGCAAGACTCTAGCCCTCAATTCTAACAGGAAGGAAGAAGTGAATAAATGCACCTTGCAAGTTAAATATGTCAGGGTATAAAAAGGGTTCAATATTTTAAAAAGGCATTATTAAATTTTTAATGCCTCAGTGGGATTTGCCACTTATGTTTTTGATAGCATTGTATTTAAACAGTGGATGGCAAATTAAAGGAAATATGTTGTGAATTCTTTTATACAATAGAAAAGCTTTTGTGAAAAAAAAACTACACCCTAATATTTTGGGTAAATTCAAATCTTCACATTTCATATTTAAATGAAATCAAACAGTGAGCTGAGAACTACTGGGGAAACTCCTAAGTTCATGTCTACTGAAAAAGAAGTAATGAGTTTTTTCTGGAAGACACTGAAAATGTAGATTTGCTGCAGCTGTGATTTAAATTCAAGTCTATACGTATGAATGGTGTTAAAGGCATTATCTTGGAAAATAAGAAATTAATAAAATGAAAGGCAGGCAATACTTGGCGCTCAACATCTGCTGGCATTGCTTATAATACCACCCGGAATTCCTAGGACCTTTCTCAGAGATAGAAAGGTATCCTCAAAAATATGGACCAATTCTTAAAAAATAATTTCCATGTTATGAGTGCTATAGTTTATAACACAGAACATAATTTAATGAGCATTTTTAGGTACTTTATAAGATAATCTAAGAAGATTATAGCTCCCATGAACCACAAGGTTTCTGTTACATGGCCAACGGTTTATAAAAGACAATTAACAAGCAAATAGATTGCTTGCAGAAGCTATTCAAGTTTCCATGTTATGGGGCTGTTTTCTTTGCACTGAACGATTTTGCCCTAGACCTCACTCAAATGCCAACTTGTTAAGTCAAAACATCAACTCCACTTTCAGATTAAGAACCATCCAGAATTGCAAGTTTTAGAGGCCACCAAGAATCCAACAATATACTTTTAAACTTCTCTTCTTGCTCCAACTCTTCTTTTTGTTGCACTGTTTCTGGGATGTATTATCTCTATTTTAATTAAGTCTGTATGCAAACCCAACTGCCCAATGAAAACGAACCTAACTTGGCGTTATTGCTCTACCCCACCCTGTTCATGTCCCAAGAGGCTTCCTTTACATACTATCCCACAAAATGCACTTACCCCTTTGCTTGTGCATAATGTTAGTACTTTATGTTCTTGTTCAATGTTTGTTCAGTTGTCTCAATATCCTTTATGTCTGGCCATGTCAGCATCATCTTAGACTGAAAACTCCCAGGGGGCAGGGGCCATGTCTGTTTAACTCGTTTTGTACAATGCCTAGGACAAAACCATGTACAGATAGGTGCTTAAAAAATGCTTTTTGATGATGATTGGCATCACTCTCAGGGACTCTCTAAGCTCTCAGCACATGGTACTTGGTAGTAGTACATCAGGGCAACTTTGGCCATTCCACAGGGCACCAAATAAAGCTAATTACAGCCCTCTGGCAAGTATCTGACTCAATCAGTTAAAATTTTTTTAAAGTATTAATTATATGATCCCAAGTCAACAAATGTAAACTGTATTGAGGACATGAAATAATATCACAACAACCAATTCAATTAAGAGTTCAAAATATACAGGAATCCTAATGGGATAGTAGTAAAGAGTTTTAACTCTTTCTCTAGCACTCAACACTGTTTTTAAAAGGTTTAAGGACCTCAGACAAGCTTATGTAAGTTTCATCTTTGCTCTCTACTTGTAGGTTTAGAGTTTACCATTATTATGTTACAACAAATATCCTGCTAAC